TATATATATATATATATATATATATATATATATATATATATATATATATATATATATATATATATATATATATATATATATAATTTAGGTGAGGTTTCTCGGAGCGGATATTATAAGAAGTCAACATATTTTTTTTAAAATTCTCTCCATGCTGCTAAAACTGAATTGCTCCTGCATGGAAACTTTAAACCTATACTATAGTAATTATATAATGATATTATACTGATAGGCCTCCCTATTATGTAGCTACTGACTACCTTTTGTAATCCAGAAGTTATCTCTTGGCCAGCATGCATGAAATATTAGGGCCTACCCTAATTTTGCATGCTTTCTTCGCTCGTTGGTCGAGTTTGGTTTTCGTTCCCTCCCATACTTCACCCTCAAGTGATATATTATCCATCAGCTCATCAAACTATTACTTCCAAACTTATGTTTAGAGAGAAGAGAGACAGGTTGAGAATAAAAGGAATATTTTTTATGGAACTATAACTAATTAACTATACGCAATTGCGCGAATATACTGACCTGGTGGAGGATAACGACCATGTGCGTAAAATACCTAGAAATGAGAATAATTATCAAATTATAGAAAACATGTTTGAAACAACTGAAGTCAAGGCTAAATATTCATTCTTTTAATTGCTCGTACACAAACCATTAGTATATTAATAAAATTCAGTTAATAATAATATACACTGCAATAATACAGTGGATTAATTAAAACTGGATTAATTATGTCAGATAAGAACCAGTTGGTACGATGAATTGTGCAGCGTTTGACAGAAAAGACAATGATATGTTATTGTTTGAAAGGAAACGATAAAAGTGCAAAAGACTTGTTGGGGAAAGTTTGTTAAAATTTCCATTGTTAAATGGCTAAATTTAACCGTCTATATATATAAAGGAATGATTTAACAGATAGAGTTTAATAGTTATATATACAAATAGTTTTGATAATTTGGAGGAATTGTAATCAAATATATACATTTTAATAATAAATATATAATCAATAATATAATATAGCATTTGTAAATTCTGAACGCTGATTGGCTAAGAGCCGTGTTGATATAACTCAATGTCAACACGGAAAATTTCTTTCTTTATATTTCTTCGTGCTATATTGTAAAAAATAAAGCATTTTTTCCGTATTGATATACAGTTATAGCAACACTCGAGGAAATTGGGAAAACTCGAAATTGTGTGAAAACACACCGCTCTCCGCGGGCGTCGTTTCCACACAATTTCTCGTTTTCCCATTTTTCGCTCGTGTTGATATAACTGTATATATCAACACGGAAAATGGTTTATATTTGTTAAATATAACTCGACTGAATACATTATAATTTATCAAAAGAAATACACTCTCCATATCAGGCCCTCTCGGCTAAAATCGAACTCACCATAAAAGCAAAAGTCAAAGCCAAGATGAAAATCGACTTCATTGTCTTCTCCTGTTGGTATAGCTATATATATCCAGCATGGAATAGCAGCTGTAACGGACGATTTCACGGTAATGGTAGGCCTAGTTTTAAATAGACCTTGCTACGCCGGCGTAGGTGTATAACAGCCGGATATTCCATTTCATCGTTTTTAGTCATATATATTGGCTACTATAGGCTATATCAATATAATAATGATAAGTAGCCTAGCTACTGTACTTTGCTTACAACTTAACAAAGAATTAACAAATGTCAACTGATGAAATATGAAAGGCGATATGATGTGAAAGATTATTCTAAAGTGACTATACTTACGATTTGATTGATTTGATTGTTTTAAGTGGATATATACAGCATACACGAAAGAGCATTTCAAATTGTAAAGACCATATCAAATATGCAGCACTTCAAACAATATAATTTGATTTGTTCTTCCAACCATCTACTCAAAAGCATTTCCGAACTATAACCAATATATAGGACCCACTTTTTTCTGATATTATTAGCTTATAAATATTTTCCTCAATAAAACAAACCGTCGTCGACATCGCTTTATATATAGTTATATACAGCTAGGCCTACATGTATTCAATTAGGGAATCAGAAAAATATTTAAAATGAATGATTACATATATATATATAGAGAGAGAGAGATTCAGATTTTTAATGATTTGCAATATATACAAAAAAAAGAATAATCAAGAACGTACAAACATTACAAAAATAGTTAAAATTACTTATTATAATAGAATAAATGATGACTTAGTTAAATTATGCCCAGTAGTCAAAGTAGCAACCCACCGGGCACACGACGTTGTTTCAACGTTGAAATTTGGTAGAAAAAAGGTTGCGACGTGGACAACCTACTATCTACGTTGCTCTGACGTTGTTTTACAAACATTGGTTCAACAGCAGCCAACAGACGTTGAATTAACGTTCATTCATGGTTAAATGTACGACGTCGATTTGTGAACCAATCTCAACGTTGTTTTAACGTGGATTCAACGTTGAATTATGGTTGACGAGATTGGCAACCTAATTTCAACGTTGTTTCAACGTCGAAACAGTAACGTCGATCCAACTTGCATAGTCAACCCTTTTTCAACGTCTATATCCAATGTCTGGAAGGTCATTTCCAACGTTGATTCAACGTTGGATAAACGTCATTTTTCCCGCTGGGAAGAAGCTTTCGAGTTGACTACTGTCTATATGTGAGATTTTTTAGTGTATTTGAGCTAAGAATATTAGAAAGAAAAAAAAAAACACACATAAAAAGATTCGAAGGGAAAAGATTAAAAAAAAACAGTGTTCCTTTCACCAATTGGAACTAATCGTCGTTCTGCTGACTTAGTAAATACAACATATACTTTCGTTTAAAACTCTTAAAAAGAGATGCTTCATGTGATAAGGTATAGTTTCCCATAGCACTAATGCAGTATAATTGAAAGTAAACTTGCTATAATTAGTTCTTACTTGAGGTCTACAGAAATTTAGTTTAGATGCAAGTCTTGTGTTGTAATTATGTAGTAAGTGAACAGGATTGAGAAAGTCATGCAGAGAGTGCCACCGGAACTTTGGAATCATGATCACTAAATTTAGATGCAAAAATTGCAGTTTTTAGTTTGATAATATTTTCTAGCTTAAGGACTCCGAGGATATTATAGTAAAGATTTATATTTTCCCTGCTATCTACAAGAAAGATGCATCGAATGCATCTATTTTGCTTGGTAGAAATTTTTGTTAATTTTGCTTTTGTAAGTATTTCCCCAGCTTGCATGTATAATATAGATGCTTTAATATTTTTAAGTTTATGTAACCCCGCAATTTGTACAAAATTCCTAAATTCTTTGAAATTTTGCTATTAATATTTTTATTTGATTTTCCCAGTTTAAATGGTCATCAATAAATACACCACGGGCAATAGGACAGGTGTAGTGTTGTTAAATAAAAAGTTAGAAATGGTATTGTACTTACCCATGTATTATAATTATGTTTAGAAGATCAGAATATTCATAAATTCTTATTTTGTTTCATAAATAGTTCTTTAATATTCGAAACAAATTCCACATCTACTTTGTCTGCCGCCGCCATGTTTACTCGCCCCAATCTACATACTACACGGCATTGCTGCCCCTCCTGGCAAGATAATAAGCAAGCGAGAAAAATTAAGGAGAAAATAAGAGGGTAGGAACATCGTTGTCATAAGCTGGATGCAGTGACACTTCCATATATGGCACAAACGTATCCATAACTTCCATATATGGCACAAACGTATCCCCGACGCGTTTTATAACGTTTTATTTGACGTAGGGATGACGTAATGCTGCTTCCCGCCTATGACGATTTGAATTAGTCATGTGATACAAGATTGAGAAAGCTGATTCGCCCAGAGCGATGAAACGCCCACGAACCGCCCACAGTGTTCCTACCCTCTTATTTTCTCCTTAATTTTTCTCGCTTGCTTATTATTTTGCCAGGAGGGGCGGCAATGCCGTGCAGCATGTAGATTGGGACGAGTAAACATGGCGATGGCAGACGAAGCAGATATGGAATTTGTTTCGAATATTAAAGAACTATTTATGAAACAAAATAAGAATTTATGAATATTCTGATCTTCTAAACATAATTATAATACATGGGTAAGTACAATACCATTTCTAACTTTTTATTTAACAACACTACACCTGTCCTATTGCCCGTGAATACACCCAAGTATTTAACACAATGTTTTTGCTCAAGATTTAAAATACAAATTTTTCTACATATTCGTTGTGGAGAGTTTATTATCATATAATTTGTTTTTTTGTGGTTAATTGATAGTTTATTTATCTTACAGTATGTCATAACACCTTGGAATTCATTATTCATAACATTTTCAGATTCATCGATATTCTTTGATTAAAATAATAGATTTGTATCATCAGCAAATATTCTGAATGACAATTTTGAT